TTTTTTTTTTTTTTTAGCCAATGATTGTCAAGAGAGAAGGTTGTGCAACTTGAAATAAAGCAATGCTTTGTACCAAAGTTTTTAATCAAGGTACTTAATATAGTCAAAATATCAAATCACATTTTAAAAGGGCATATGTTTTTATGTTTATCAAAGAAGCCATAAGATACAAAATTTTATGATGTTTTTGGATCATTAACACTGTTTTACTGTAAGGCATAGACTATATCATGCAAGAGTGTGTGTGACATACTGTAAAAAAAAAAAAAAAAAGGAAAGAAAGAAAGGAGAGGAACTACATTTATAGTCTCCATCCATTTTCAAGCACTGTGCTTGACATTTTGAATATTATCACATTTGATCCTGAAAAGCACACTTAAGAGGGTTGTGTTATTAGCTCTATTTTATAGAATCGTAACTGAAGCCCATTTTCTTTTGATGCATTAGAAAAAAAATCATGAAATTAATGACTAAAAACAACACAGATGTATTACCTTCCAGTCTCTGTGAATCAGGAGAGCAGGCATAGCTTAGCTGGGTCCTCAGCTCAGGGCATCACAAGGTGGTAACCAAGGTGCCATCAAAGACTCGGTGGGCAAAGGATCTTCTGTTGGAAGAATTCGATTTCTTCTGGGTGTGAGATTCATTGTAGCGTACTTCTTCAAAGGCAGCAGTGGACAATGAGAAAGAGACAAAGTAAGACACTAGCCAGACTCCAGGTACTGCCCACCACCTTTACCTTACTGCATTGGTTAGAACACAGGTGGTCCTGCCCATACAGAAGGAAAAGGATTGCACAAAGATGAAAATATTGGATGCAAGGACAAAGTCTGTTCTTCACATAAAGCCAACTGTCATTGAGTCAATTCCAACTTATAGTGACCCCATGTGTTTTCAGAATGGAATTGTGCTTCACAGGGTTTTCAGTGACTGAGTTTTTGGAAGTAGATCACCAAACCTTTCTTCTGAAGTTATTCAGGGTGGACTTGAACTTCCAAACTTTCAGTTAGCATCTGGCTGTGTTAATCATTTGTATGGCTCACTAAGATAGGTTACCTCCAAGCTCCTACAACCAGCAAGTGGTGGAGCTGTTACAAACTCAGGTCTTTCACAGCTCCTGTTCTGGATTTGAATCCGCCTTGTATTTCTAACCATCTGAGTTACCTTGAGGAAATCCTTCAACTTCACCAAGTCCTAGTCTCCTCACTTGGAGAAAAGAAGCAGGAACAGCCAGCGGATCTGTATGGGCCATTCAGTTTCAGTCTAGTGGGATTCTATAAACAGCAAGTACAGGTGGCAGGCTTGGTGAAGAGACCCCTTCCTACATACCACGCTATCAGGGAAGTGGGAGTGGTCCTCTCTCAGTGTCCCCACAGTTGGGACCCACCAGTCACTTCACTGTGGTCTTTGATCCTTTTCACAGCATCATCTATGGCATCGTGATCCGGACTATTTGGATTAAAAGCAAAGCCCATGAGATGGTGATTTCCAACTGCTCAGGTGAGTATCTAATTGACATTGCCTAACTCTTGCCTGAGTTTGCTTGTGCCAAGATTTCTTTCTAGTAAATATGAACTTGTGCTGCTTGGAAGCCTGTGCTGTATTAGGCCCATCAGACAGATGGGACAGAGCCTGTCCCTGCAGGTGCTGTCGTCCCCACTTGGTCACCCTGGAAACTGGGAGAAGGAACAGAGACTTTGGGGTTGGCTACGCTATGCCCACAGAATCCCCCAGAGCAGCCTCTGAGCCAGGATTTGAGGGAAGCCCATCTTCCAGGCATGGTAGAGAGGCACCTTGGAGCACATTGGGAAGAGAGGAGAGGGTCACACTCAGTGAATACCACCCATCCAGCAAAACACAAAGAGAGACTTTTCCATTTCACTTCAGTGTATGCAGCGAGCTCCTCACAGGATGGCTCATGTACCTGAAACCAGTCAAGGCCTGATCCACACCCAGCCCCAGCTCACCGTTCACACCCAACAAGCCAGAGATCATCCAGTAGTCCCCTCCCCAAAATGCAATTTCAGTAAACCTGAATGCAGACCGCCTGCTACACACTAGGCACTGACATATGGAGACCTAACCTGCTTTGAGGCAAGACTTACAGGACCTGATGGAATTCCAAGGTGCCAGCAAGAGAGGAGAAAGGGTTTCCCATTTCTTGTGATATAACTCGCTCTGTAGGGGAACTTGCTCTGCTGAGAGTCATGCTTCCTCCTACCGCTTCTCCACATACATGCAGACATATAACACAGGTCTTCACACACAAAAATTCATACACATAGCCACACATACACTTACACACTCATACATATATATTTTTTAAATGCTGTCATCGAGTTGATTCCAACTCATAGGGTGTCCAAGACTGTAAATCTTTACAGGAACAGAAAAGACAGCCTCCGCTTTCTCCTGAGGAGAGGCTGGTGGTTTGAATCATTGACTCGTGGTTAGGAGTCAATGCCTAATCCACAGTGTCACCAGGGTGCCTTCGTATACATATGTTACTGTTGCTGTTAAGTGCCATTGAGTTGGTTCTGACTTATAGCAACCCTGTATAGGGTTTCTGAGGAATGGCTAGTGAGTTCGAACCGCCGACCTTGCTATTCAAACCAACCTTGTAGTTAGTCCAGCCATTATCCCACAGTGCCACACCAAGGTCTATATGCCTGTGACACTGTGAGTTAATGCACTGGACTCCAAAGTAGTTTTGAACCTCAAGGTCGGTGGTTCAAGCTCATAAGGCACTCCCCAGAGCTACATGTAAATACTACAGCTCTCAAAATGATGGTATAAATAACGAAAACAGAGCTGGTTGTTATTTAGTCAATTCCCACTCATAGCAATCCTATAAGAAAGCATACGACTGCCCCGCAGGGTTGCCAAGGTTGTAAATCCTTACAGAAGCAGACTCCCACATCTTTCTTGTGTGGAACAACAGGTGGGTTCCAATGGCTGACCTTTCAGTTAGCAACCTACGGCTTACCCACTGTGTCTCCAGGGTTCCTTAAACAATCGTGTGTTGTATATTCATTGGTACAGAAAACGTTCACAATGTATTTGGTTAAAAAGGAAAAGCAGTGTGGTAACACTTTTATAAATATGTGCACTATGATATATGGTAGAACATGTATTCTTGTTGTTGTTAAGTGCCGTTGAGTCGGTTCTGACCCATAGAGACCCTGTATAGGGTTTCCGAGGAGCAGCTGATGAGCCTGAACTGCCGACCATGTGGTTCAAACCAACTTTGCAATCCAGTGCATTAACCCACAGCTTCACACCAGGACTCCAGAGTATGTATAGTTGGTGATGATTATGTAGCGAGGAGTCAGTTCCAATTCATAGCAACCTTGAATAGGGTTTCCAAGGCTGTGTGTTGTTGTTGTTGTTAAGTACCATGGAGTCGGTTCTGACTCACAGTGACCCGGAACAGGGTTTCCAAGGCTTTAAATCTTTAC